GTGTAAAATTCAACACTGCGGTTCATTTGAGGCTTTAAAATTGAGTAGTTTCTGATCATTCTTAATCATTCGAACCTGTTACTTTTATCCAAGCCTGGTGGTTTGGGTCAAATGGTTAAAGCTTTAACATAATTGGAACATTTTGAACACTGCAAAGATCCAAAAGGCACATCCTAACTGATCTTGGAAAAGATAAACAAGGAAATATTAAAAATTTTGGAATTACCATCACACCTCCCTCACTTAAACCTCACTGTGGACTACAGTATTCTTTGTTGTCATGCCAGGAAACAAACCAATTTCAAAAACCAATTTAGACTATTGTTACAAATGAAAAATAAAGTGGTCATATAACCAGTCATTATAATTACTGATGAAACAAATTTAGAAGCTTGTTAAAGAGTTTTTTAGAAGTGCAACTTGCTAAAAGATATTCAGTAATTAGTAAATATCTAAAAGTTTATTGCAGCTGTACATATAATGACTGTATTAGAAAACAATGACAATAAATTCAAATTATTTGTTTTTAAAAATTATAAATTTAATTAAGATGTTTGACCCACCCTGCTTAGAAAGGCACATAATTAATTTAAATGTACATGTAAGTAACACACAAACTTATTAAAATAGCTGATGCAGAGGAAAAAATGAAAGGAGCTAATCTTCCCATTGTGAGTGTTTTCCACTTTCCTCATCTAATAGTGACTCAACAGACTTTGGCCTGTAAGGTAAGGTAAAAGGAAGAAAAAACAAACAAGACAGCAGCAGGGAAAATACAATACACAAAAGGACATTTCCATTCGCCAACAGCATCTTTTAAGTGGACCCCTTACGTGGTTTCTTGGTCGTGACATTGACTATGTAGCTCTGTGGACCCACTCCAGCGCTGTTATAGGCCCGCAGGGACATGTAATAGGTACTGCTGCCCTCCAGATCCCTGATGAGTACTGATGTTTTATTCCCCTCTGTTCTGACCACACTGGCTGCATCCGGCTTTTCCTTCTCTCTCCAGTACAGCAGCTAGACACAAAAGATGTTCAGGTCACACTTCATCAGTTCCACTGTACACTTTTATTTCTTCCCTCTTTAGCATGGGGCATTACGTGCAATCTGATTGAAAAAATAAAAAAATAAATAAACAAAATGGTAGAAAAAAAAGGAGCACATTGCATTAAAAGGAATCAAATTCTTTTTGCAATGTTCACTGCATTTTTGCATGTCAAAGTAAGACAGCTTCTGGTGGTCTGACCTCATAGCCAAGGATACGTCTTCGGCTGTTGCTCCACGCCAGCGGCTTCCAGGTGACCTCGACTTCAGATGCTGAAACACTCCTCGCCCTTAGCTTGACTGGAGCTCTGCTGGGTTCTAAAACATACACATGATACTTAGAGTTTCATGCATTCTCTACACCCACATTCACACTATGACTAAACAATAGAGCGGCTTCATCTAGTATTTTTTTTTATAATTTCAAGAGAAAGATAACCTCTTTGGTGAATTTAAATCATTTTATTACTATTTTGGTGCTGTAGAAATTGTAATTTCTTGACTAATATTTCACACAAACATGTGTAGTCGCTGTTTAAAACATTTTTAATATCTGTCCGGAGTAGAATACTTATGGTATGCACCTTCTTCTGCTGAGTAGATGGTAGTAACAGGACTAAAAGGCCCTTCGCCCTTATTGTTGTAAACCCCAACTTTGACTTGATAAGGGGAGAAGGGAGGGATGCTTTCATTCTTAAAAACGTATCTTGAAGCATCAGGGGATGTGACGGCTGCCTGCATCCAGCCTTGTGCTCCGAGAGGGCGGAAAGCCACCACGTAACCAAAGCCTGGCCCGCTCTGCATTTCCTCTGGAACGGGCTAAGGAGGCAGCAAAAAACAGACAAAGTACTCATTAGAAGGAAGCTTTTGTGTTCCTCCTGATGTTACCCGATTCAAAGAAATATAGAAGAACTAAAGTGCTGAGTCAAAAAAACAAGCAAATCTTGTAAATTTGAGAGTCATTATTGTTTAACCTTACTTTTGTCGCCTCTAGTAGTATAAAATAGAACCGTATATTAAAAACCAAACACCAATATAACACGTACAACCAGGTAAAGCTTAAAGAATCACATGTAATTATCTGCACACTTACTTCCCACGTGATGACAAGCTCCGATCGTCCTCCACCACCACCGCTTACCCTCGCTGGAGTCACTCTAGGCACTAACACGCCAAAAACATTGCTTTGTTAAACTAACCGTATTTATCAATCAAGAAAGATAATATAGATTGGCAGTTATGCTGAACATGTAATAGATATTCAAAATGCATTAAAACTCATCCTAAAAGAACCAAAACATTGATCTTGTGCAAAATTTTGTTCAACTGCAGTTTATTCAAGTGACTTTTTAATAACCAGTGAAGCAGCAAAGAAATTATATATGTGATGTGTATTGATTGTTAGAAGATAATCCCTTTTAGGGTTTGGCTATAATACACAATAAAGCTATTGAAGCTACATACAAAAAAGGTTTCCTCTGACACAGTTCAGTTTAATTTGCCTTTTAAACACCTGGCATTTTGTATACGGCTTTCTTACTTAGCCTCTTGTTCTCTGAATCCAACAACAAACTCAAAATTCTTAGAAAAATCAAGCAGGGATGATAGATGTGGCACCTTTTTTCTTTTTAAGCATTTAATGTTGCCTTTAGTTGACTCATTTTAGTTTTTGAAAATAGGAAGCAGAGGCGTTGCAATGTAGTATCTTTTATTGAAATTCTTAAGTTATTCTAAAATGCTGAAGTGAGAGTTTTGATGAATTGGAAGACAGTGGGATACTTCTTAAGGTTTGCCTCTTGTCTTTGGCTCCCTGGTAAAAGTAAAATTGAATTTTAACATTTTCCTTCTACTTATAATGTCCTTAATAATCAAGTACCGTCTTATACTTTAGACCTTATTTTCCATATGTTCCCAAAGAACAGTAAGTATTCATTGCTGCAGGTATACTGCTAGTTTCTAAAAGTCAGGAACTAGCGTGCAGTTTTTTTTCTATAGAAAGCTTAAAACTTGCCCTTTTTAAAAAAATTTGATATTTTCATAGTCCTGGTTTTCAAAGGCTTCCTCAACAGCTATACTGCTGTAGGCATGATGTCTTCATTCATCTATTACTTATAATGATTACCTTTTTTGTGCTTTCCTTGATAACTTGTGTTGTTGTGTGACTGTCCTGTCCTTTCAGCCCTGAGCCAGTAGACACAAATAGCTGACCTCCCTAAACTTGGTTCTGCTTGAGATTTATTGTAATAATTAAGTCCCTTCCTTTTACAATGATAAACTTCTTGCTCAGCATCAGAGATTGGCACTAAACAAGGATTCAATTCCACTTGCTGGTTTTCTTAGACAGACACATTTTGTACTTAAAGGCAGTGTATACTTTGCAAAGTCTAGTATAATGTGGTAGTGCACTATATTATGTTCAAATATGATTCAGAATTTGATTAAATTTGGTTTGATTGTATTGGGATAAAAAAACAAAAATAGGTAAAGAAACTAAGACAGAACCAGAATTAAAAACTGCTAAGATATTCAGTTTAATAGTGGCTCTCTCACATATATGGCTGCCAACACGTGAATCATGTTTGGAAACAAGGCTGTGTCAAAATGTAAAGCTAATGATAAGAGAAAGGTGCATGTGCAAAATGGATTGTGAGAGAAGCTTGTTTTACTCAAAGCAACCTACAGGAGGACTCAGAGTCTGTTATGGTTGCAAGCAGAACCAGAATCTCCAATGGAATTGTATGTTTTTGTCATAAAAGCTTTATCATTTTCATATCTGATTTTTTTGAGTGTGGATAAAACGAATTTTGATGAATTAAACACCCATGAGGAGCTACTTTATTAAAAATACAACTTGATATACTTTTTCTGTGAATAATCATGAGCAAAGCGAGCCTACATACAGTATGCCTGAAACTGAAAACTGAAAACATTTTTGAAATCAACTTTCGTAAGACGGCCCAATATTATATGGTAACTATCATAAAACATAGAATTTGATAGTATCAATCAATCTATATTTTTAGTATTTTCATCATGTTTCTTTATCAATATTCTATTTGAACTTGTGTAAGACAGTGTTTCCCAACCGGGGGTACGCGTGCCCCTAGGGGTACGTGAGTGCAATGCAAGGGGTACACGAAAATATTTTATTTATCCGGTAGTAATATAAAATAGGGCTGGGATCTGTTTTGCTTTGTGAGGAGCCAACTGAATAATTGAACATGCTTTTATCAATCAAAAAGTAAGTTTTCTAATGCAGAGGAACAGACTAAATGTAGAAAACAGCCTGGTAGCAGCTGTTTTTCACACTGAGCTATCAGAGCTAATCAAAACAAGCTCATGTGTCTTGATGAAAACAAATTAAACTAATTAAGACAGTCTGACTATAACTTTAATTCTGTATTTTGTTCCCAATACATCAATTTTAAATGTAATTATAAGGGAGTTACTCATAGGAGCTCCAGTTTTATTTAAATACAGGTTTATAATATGATTTTATTTTGTATTTATTTTGATTCCTTACTAACTTCCAGGCAACATATTTATGTTGTTTTTTTCTTTGATGGACAGTATGAAATTATAAAATGCTCAAATTAAAAGATTAAGTAAAATTGTCTTTATTTCAGCTATTGTACATTCCACTTTTGGACAATCATCAATAATTTTGACTGTGAGGGGTACTCATGGTAAGCAAAAATGCCCAATGGGGTACACAAGTCAAAAAAGGCTTGGAAACACTGGTTTAAGAAAGGAGCAAGAAATAGACTTACAAAACAAACAAAAAAAAAAGTCCCAACAATACATACGCATTTCTTTGGTGCGGGTCTTCTTTGAGGGTTTGCTGGGCTCTCCTGTTCCAACACTGTTGGTTGCCAAAACTCTGAACTCATAGTCAACCCAGGGACTTAAATCAGTCACAGTGGCTGAGAGCTCTTTCCCCTTTAAAATTTCTCGGACTAAAAGACATATGATAAATAATGTTTCATCAGCACAGGAAAAAATATTGATCAACTTATGCAATGTTATACATATCAGCTCACAAATATTGTTTGAAACAAATAAAGATTTTCAAAATCAGCATATTTATATTTCTTCTGACCTACATAGATAGTCTCTCTAAAAGCATAAGCTTACCATTGGTAACAGTTTGCCATCCGAGGGAGAAGGGTGTTCTGGCCTGGATAGTGTAGCTGAGGATGGGGCTGTGGTTGTCCAATCCAGGCCTCCAAGACAGAGACGCAGTGGTCTCAGTCATCTCATTCACCTGACAATCTAATGGTGGGTCTGGAGGACCTGGAAGAATGATAAGTTACAGTCCACTTACACAGAAAGATAAACACTTGAAAGATTAATGAGGAGAAGAGGAAGAAGACGTTAGACATGGATAAGTTGGATCATGATCAGGGTTTATATACCAAATGGATTAGAAGAAAGTGAGATTTGGTGTAGCAGCTATTTTATTTAATAATGAAATGCAAACCTGACCAAAATGTAAAACAAATATAGATTGACAAAAACATAATGAACCATACCTTAAGAAGAATTAGACAATGTTATGATTTTTTCCTATATTAAATTCTTACAACACAATTCTCAAAAAAATTTTAAAAACTTATCTTAAATCTGAATGAATGAAATATTCTCACTGAATACTTTGTGCTGTACAAAGTTGAATGTGCTAATAATTTTTCCTGCAAAAAAAATTAACTTAAGAGTAAAAGAAAATCAGGAAGAACTTCTCTTATTTTTTTCAATAAGAAGCTAACCTGGCAGTAGCCAGACTGATATGTGTGGAACTGAGTTGAGTTCTACGTTATCAATCTAGGACGCCTGTCATTAAGTCTGTCCTTGAAAAGGAGGGACGTTTAGTACAATACTTCGAGCTGATTGGGTGACTGGCCAGCTAATGCCGTCTTCCATAATACGGTTTCAGCTAATCGTAACAGCGAATCGTGACTTTTTCACAACTAGAGCAGTAAGCTGGAAAATCAAACTTTTTCCAAATCCTGTAAGAAAAAAAGCAAAGACATCTTTCTAATCAACAAATGCACAAGGTGCTTTTCTTTGCTCCATTTTCAAACGTGAAATTGTCTGTATTTTAGTTAAAACCGAGTTAATTGCGGTATCGACAGGTGAGTCCTCCAGGTTAGCCATGTTTGTAATGCCACAGCAAGGCCCTTCTCAATGTTGTAATTCCTACATGGCCCACCCCAAGAAAACACTGCTGGCAAGTGTATGGTCTGACTCACTGGTTGTTAAGAGATGGACGTATTAGTGGTAGTCTTTTAAGATAGATTTGTTGTCAGACACAAAACTCAGATCTTGCGATAATCCAGCTTGCAGCGAAGGGTTAATGAGAAGCAGCCAAGAGTCCAGTATTTGTGAACCTGTCTTTAACTTTTTTACTCTTTTTTAACTTCTGTTTTCTGGAGTAATTCCCCACAGAGAACTACTTCAGCAATGAGACCCTTTGTTCCCAGTCACGACCTTTACCTTAATCAGAGCAACAGAATCCATGATGTCAGAAATTTTAGAATGAGACTTTTTCTAACAGCTCCTCTACCGAGTTAAATGGCAACAACTTTGTAGTCAGGGATTCTTGTTACCTTTTGACAGTTCACTTAATGCACTAAAATTAAACATTTAGATGTTTTTTTGCATGAGATAATATCCTAATAGAGGATAAAATGTAACAGATTCAACCTATCCGTGCTTGAGGTCCCATAGACCGTGACTGGCACTCTGGGATTCATACATCTAATGTGATGTATTCTTCTTGATCCATTCATCTCTGCAACTTTATGTATTTTGCATGCATTGGTAATTTTAAATCTTCTTTTGATAAATAAGGAGAGTCCTTACCTCTAACAACCACATCTGTAGCAATTGACACACTGTCCACCTTGGTCTGAACTGCACAGGTGTATTTCCCAGCATGGCTTAGTTGGATGTTCCTTATCATAATGTCACCTGCAGAACGCTGTTGATGTAGGTGAGAGAAATCAAATATAAGAAAAGTATAAAAAGAAACAAAAGGAAAACGAAGAAACTGAAAAAAAAAAAACCTGTTAGAATCACGAAGTTGCAGAAATGAATCAAGAGAACAGGTAAAGCATGTGAAATGTCAAAGCAATTTCTGGTGCCATTCTATTTATTTCATTAAGAGAAGAGAGGGAGAAAGCACTCATCCAGGGACACATCAAATAAACGAATGCTGCTTTTCATCTTCATTTATGAGGGCAGCTCTTTGTGAGGAATTAAAAGCTTTCTTTCAGCATCATCTTTTTATTTATTCTCCCTGCTTTCATTTAGTCTACAGAAAATGACTCAATGCCAAACACACAGTAAACTCTCAACTTTAAAGTTAGAGCTAATGTAAAGTTTATGCCTTATCTCGGAGACGAGAGAAACTGTAAAAGGAGTCGTGACTCTGGGAGCTACTTTGATGTATAATCAGGGACATTTTATGGAGATAAAATTCAGCTGCTCCCAATATTTCCCTCTTTGATTCAACCTGCCATCAAAAATATTTCAGGATGGAATGGATTGCAAATCTACCACTTAATCTAACATTTTATATCTAGAAGTTCTAAGCCTATGCAAGCAAATGAAGAAGTGAGTTGTAAAAAACCGGGTGCCCTTTAACTAAAGAAAGATAACTTAAAATAAGATCTTGTAAGAAAGAAAATGTTTACAAAATTTACGTGTATTTATAGACATCAATGTTAAAATCTAATCAAAACTGTCTTTAGTAGAACTTTTTTAAAGCAGGTGTATTTATGAAAAAACAACTAAAAAGAGATTCATGGCCACCTTTAAATGTGTCCATAGTACTTCAGTTGAGGGGGGATGGCATTCCCTTCTTAAAAAAAAAAAATCTTAAAAATCATCATCTTTCTTAAATCACCATCCCCCCATACCATCCCCTGTGACATTTTAATACTGAATGTGTAAAATTTCTACTATATATTAACAGTAATAACAATAATATTGCCCTTTCCACATTCAGCTCACGAGTAGCCTGAGCAAAATAAAGAAAATCAAAGAAGTGGCCTACCATGAGAAGGAAGCTGATCCCAGCGGGACATTTGTCCTCTGTATTTGTCCCTAACTATGTAGGGGCAGTGATAGCCATGCCAGTCCAGGGACTGACTGCAGTTCTACTGTAAGGTGCCTTGGTCAAGTTCAATGACCAGTGTATCTGACATTTAACAACCATACCATGCATATTGCTTTAGGTTTATAAAATATATTAATTAGGCTAGGCTATGTATGCTTTCATAAAAAAAAAAAAAATCCAACATCCCCTTTTTTTTTTTTTTTTTCAACTAGACTACTGGGGATCCATATTAATTCTACACATGCTGTCACTCTTAGCTCCTCATCCTGCTAATCAAATTTCCTTTCTCTAAAGATTGTATTAATTAATCCAGAATTTTTAGGGATAAATGATAACCGGATCACATTTGTTTCCAGTCATAGTCAAGCTGAACATGTTAGCAATTTGATTCAGTATTTTTTCTTTTTTTCTGAATTTAGTATCCAGTTTGTAGCCTCATAATCAAGACAAATGACTTCTGGTGATCATTTGACTTATGGTTTCTAAGAAGAGGATTTGAATCAGATTCTAAGTGAGGTGTTTATAGCCTAATTGCAAGAAGTCACTTTAAAGAGTCCAAATAGATATTAGAACTTGGGCAATATTTTCTCTGAGTAATACATTTGGCCACTCTAGCACCCACTGTTGTGAGAATTTTCTAGCCTCTAGTCATAATAAGTGAAAGTTGATTTGGTTTATGGCCTGACGAAGTGAATTAGTAATGCTCTTAGTAACTGCATAAGTTTTTCCGTGATGCAGTAATCCAACTTACTTAATCACTTTTCCTCCTGTCAGTAATGCTATTCCTTTACCTTTGGCATTTTACTACAGCTTTATCAATTAAAGGTATAGTGGAGGATTTTCGCAGTTTTTGAAAAGACCTGCCCTCTCCACAAAAAATGCATATGCAAAACCCTGTACTCACTCCTGTGAGGGAACGCCTATTAAACGCGTGTCGAGAGCATGCACGAGCCCATATCTCCTCTTGGATGTACAGAACGCAAAAATATGGTCGCTCAGATGGATCCCATCTCACCCATATTTATTTAGTAAAATTTCCCCGGAAATAAGACTGCTAGTACCTTATAAATGTATCATCTACTTGTATGTGTGTGTGCTGCAGTGGAAATTTGGACGTGTTTGAGGGGTAAATAAGGATCTGTGGCCACCATATAACTACTACCGATGCAAATTACAAAATTAATAAACTTATCTTCCTACCTTATGGAAAGTTACAATATAGAGGTAGTTAACTTTTACCAGCAGTGATGTGAAATGGATTTCTCCAAATAGCATGCTAAACTTTACCTGTCGAGTAGAAACGTAGGCATCAGTAGAAGCCCAACCTGTGCTCTCTTTCTTTTCTTCTCATACACTTCGTAGACATTTTCTCTCTTATGACCCTCCGCCATTGTGAGTAAGGTGAGCTTCAATCACTGGCTGAAACCGTAGCTCACCACATATATACGCCTTAAAGTGCGCATTGGCAGAAAAAGATAGCAACCTGGGGATGAGCACGTAGGACGGCCTTACGTAAACATATCACCAGGATGATTGGCAATTAGGAGGACCACTTATTTTGATGATCCACTCGGAAAAAGAACATCCTACACTATATCTTTAAAGTTACCTTTCATAGGTGCACACCATCTGCTGTCAAGAAGGACAGATTTTTACAGCAGAGAGGGAGCATGGGTGCTGAGATAGAGGCAAACATGACGTTGGTTGGCTGAGGGGCCATAATGTGGGCGAATGTTCAGCATACATTGATTGCTCTCACAGACTAAGAAGAGAGAGGCACTGAGGCCTGCAGATTCAATGATAGCATTCCTGAACTGGAAGTGCTCGCTGGAGCCGAAGGCTAAATGTTCCAGTGATTTGCTTGTTATGTCCAGAACTAAGACTTTATTCACATCAGTTACAATCAACTCTAATCTAATGAAGCCCCACATCTTGTGTCACCTGACAACACAACTAACAACTGGCTGATTGTACAACATATCCTGAATCAATTCTCTTATTGTTCAAACGGAAGCACTTGAAGTACAGTCTTTGTTTTTCTTTGACTGAATGTTGTGTTCACTGTTTAATTTTATTGTTTTATTTTTGTTAAATTGCTTTAGCATTGTACTTTTTTTAATAGATAGCTAAAGCCTTTTTAAAAAAGAAAAATAAACAACCAATCACTTTCCCATAAATAAATAAATAAATCTTGATTTACTTCTACCATGACACACTTTAAAATGGTGTGGATCAGTATAAAACCTGATATTTAGTGCTTTTAATTTTGTAATTCATTTACCGTTTTATTTAATCATTGATATTAAACATTTTAAATTTGATTATTTAATTACCAGTTGTATTCAATGTTCCCATAAAAGGTAATATAACCAAATCCATCAAACTTATAGGTTAGAAAAACTAACTGCACTGTTACTTTGCTGACTAAAAATAACCTTATTTTGATTGAGCAACAACAGAGTTAATAACTACTTACTTTTCTAAGTAACATTCCAAACACTGTCTATAACTATTTTTTATGGCAACTTTTTAGGTTGAAACAGTTATTAGTATAATCTATATTAATGAGTTTCTTTGTAATATTGTTTGAAAATATCTTTACTGATAGGAAACAGAGCTCTTGTAACTGCTGTTTAGTAGAAGCAAAGGTTGATGATGTTTTCTGAATGTGGGGCTACTTGTCTGTTTAAAGTCAGATTTTTTTGACAGCTTTTAATCAAAATACTCATTAAGTGACATTTGAATACAGTGATCACTGTGTGATTGTAGCGGACTGGATGTACTCCCTTGTAATTATTACTGATGACAGGTTTCATGTGACAAGTCTAAAAGCAAAGAGTTATTTTTATATATTTTAATCTCATGTGTTATTTTTAATTCAATAGAGTGCAGCTCTTTAAATGCATCCTTTCTGCAATACATGAAAATAAGTAATTTTCTATGTACTTTCTGAGCTCCACAAATAAGCCCCAACATTATGACCACTGAGAGGTTAAGTTAATAACACTGATTTTCATGTTACCATGGCACCTGCTATTGAGTTGGATATACTGTAAGTAGCCAAAAGGTTAATGTTGAAATAAGGGGCGGAAGCAAGTACAAAGATATAAACAAGTCTGACGACAGACTGCGATAATGAGACAATTGGGTCAGAGTAACCCTGGAGCTACAGCCCTAGTTTGGTGCTTCTCTTTATTTGTAGTAAAAATGTAGTCCAAGGAAGAACAGGGGAGAGCCAATTGTTAAAAAAGGCTCACTCATGTCAACTGGGACCAAAGGCTGATCTCTCTCTCTCTGTTCACTCAATCTGTTGAAAAAAGTAAATCTGCTGTACGCTGTATCAAAGTTTTTTGTTGTTTATTTTTTTCTCTCTTGGACTTCATACTGTAGCTTGAGAACAATAAGTGACTGTAGATCTGCAGCTATATGGCTGTGGACACTTTTAGCAGGATACTGCACACTACCAAAAAATATGAAACAGTTAAGGAATACTGTGAAGAGCACATTGAGTTTGCAGTATTGCCCACAGCTTCTCTAAATTCCCTAGATCTCAATCAAATAGAGCACATGTGGGATATGCTATAGAAAACAATTCTGATCCGCGAAGGCCTTGAAGGATCTGTTGTCAACACCTTGGATTACCAGATTCTACAGCAGAAATTTTAGATTTCAATTGTCTATACAACAACATGTTTTTACATGTGTTAAACAGAAGACAAGCATGCAAGGGGATTTGAACAACGCATAGATGCACTCACCCCACCAACTTTTTCAAAAAAGGCCCCCTGGCTTCCAAAGTGGATGACCTGCTCGTTGAAGAACCAGGTGAACTTCAGGTCAAGAGTCGGATCGTGTGAAACCTGGCAAGGCAGCACAATGCTCTCGCCAAGGGTTACATCTAGGTGTCCCGCTGGACTCGTGATTGTGGTTGCCTCTGTAAATTGTAAACACAAAAACAGAGCCTACCTCATTAAAAATATAGTTGCTTTCTTCTCTATCAGACTGAATAAATCCTCCTTCACACCATCTGATTTTATAATGTTGCTTGTTTGAGCAAAACTGTGCGGTGTCTGTCTTTTCCCTGAACTTTGATAATTATAAGAAAAATTATTCCTTTGATCTACTCCTTTGGAAGATGTTAACAAATGAAAACAAATCCTGTTTCAGTCTGACAGTGACCTCATTTTGCATTTCTTTCATTGAGTCACACAGAAGCCTGTTGGTAAAAATCTGTAAAACGCTAAGAATAATAATAATAAAAAAAAAATCCTTTGTAACAGATTAATTTCCAGTCTGTAATTTTGCTTTGCTTGTGTGAAAAAAAAATGCTAAATTTAATTCTCTCTGTGGAGCCTATCAACATAATCTTTGGTTTTCTCAGCTGGATGTCTCATTTAGCAGCAGTGCTTTTCAGACATTTTTTTTCCCCATCCTGAGGGGCCCACACACCCGTCCTTTGTGAATTCTGCATATATTTTGCAAGAATGTAATGGACAGGGCTGAAATGCAACAAGTCAGGAAAAATAAAGGTCTATATTGAGCTCTGGCAAAGCAAACTGGCTTGTTTATCTGGCAGTTCTGGAGGAAAAAGAGACTGCCAATGGCATTGTATTCCAGCGGACTATCTCAACAACCCAAGATAATCACGGTTTTATCAATATGGTATTAAATACAGCATCCAGTAAAGCACTATAAGGTTCTACTTTGTATTTAACAAAATTCTGATAACTTATATACTCTGAATAAACATGTTATGTGACAAAATTGGCTTTGAACTATTCTAAAAACATAATCTATTCATCTATTTCAGCTTATCCCTGTGTGTAGTTCTCCTGCCTGCATTGAATGATAAACCTCACAGTTGAACTTACTCCCCTTCTGTAGCTTTGTTGTGGAAACAAAAAAAATATGTTATAGAATCAAATTAGCATAATTTACTAGATTTTGTAGTTAAGACAGGAGAACACTATTTTATGTTGACCATTTAAAGCAAGAGGTGAGGAATACTGTATCAAGAACAGGTAGTTAGAGTGATGCGTGTCCTTGATTTCCTAAAGACTGATTGTATGCAGACACACACTGTAAAGGAGATCCTTCTGCGGTCACCATGGTCTTTCTATTTTAACCAAGGGACAATCTTTCAACTCTTTATAGCATAATTAAGCTAAAATTAGCTCACAAAGGTTAAGGATTGGTCCAGTCTGAAATAAGTGCTGTTTAATGAAGCCATGGAGAGTTCAGCTGGCTTCATTGAATAAACAACAAAAAAATAAACATCCTTTTTCAACATAAGGTCAAAAATCTGGACAGTCTACATGGACATCCTTGTTTGAAATTAACTATGCATGAAAATGCTGTAAATTTCTTTAAAACCATTTGGATATGAAATACAATGGGTATACTGTTGTATAGATAATAAAAAAAACGAAGCTCAAGGTTCCACATCAGGGATCACAGAGCCCTCAAATTTCCGAAGTC